AAAATAAAAAAATCATCCAAATTTTACAGAAACACTTAAAGACAAGAGGAAGGAAATGGAATACTCTCCCAGTATAATTCAAGGCCAGCATAATACTTAAAACCATATCAGAAATGATAACTATCTCTTCACATAGTTATGACTCTTCAGTTATGAAACATACCTGTTTCTTGCTATGTTCCTGTGATATGCTGTTTATGCTGTTTATGTCTTTTGATGTTTTCTTTGAAATATTTATATATTTTATTATAAGTTAAATATATTTACTGTCAGTTATGTGACTGAATACCATGTCTCCGTTTATTCCTTTTCTTTTTACTTTCAGATTTCTTTTCAGTGCTGGGAATTGAACCCAGGATCCTGTACATCCTAGGCAGTGCTCTACCACTGAGCCACACTCCTAGCTCTTTCAGATGTTTTTGATGGAGGTTCTTAATATTTTTGAAAAATATCTTATTTTTATTCTATGTGTATGAGTGTATTGCCTGTATGTATGTGAGTGCACCCGTGTCCTGCAGTGCCCACAGAGGTCAGAAGAGGGTGTCAAAGTCCCCTGGAACTGGAGTTATGGACCATTATTAATTGCCACGTGGGTGCTGGGACTCGAACCTGAGTCCTCTGTAAGAGCAACCAGTGCTCTTAATCGCTGAGTTATCTCTCCAACCCAGAGGTTCTTAATCTTAATATGATCAAACTTAATATTCTTTTTTTGTAGAAATATTTTCCTTTCCAAAATTCAAAAAGATATTTGTTTTGTTTTCTGTTATGCCTTTTGTTGTAGAATAGTTAGGTCATTAACCTATTTGGAGTTTATTTTTTAGTGTGACCAAGTGATCCAGTTTAATCTGAAATTTGATTTTGTTTTTCAGAGTATTCCATCAAGGGACTGGAGAGATGGCTTAATAGTTAAGCAAGTATTGTGCTTCCAGAGGACTGGAGTTTAGTTCCCGGTACCTACGTCATGAGGCTCAGAACCATTTATAACCCACCTCCAGGGAATCTAATGCCTCTGGCAAACTTGTTCATCCACACTCTTGTACATACACACACACTCAATTAAAAATAAAATAGAGCTGGGTGTGGTGGCACACACCTTTAATTCCAGGATATTGTCAATCACTGACCAAGCCATTGTAAAGGGGGCTACTGACCATCAACCATGTATTTGTGTTAGAGATGTCATGTTGGTTTTCATACATCTCAGATCTCAACACAGGAGGCACCTGTTGTGGGATCAAGGTCAGTCTGGTCTACATAAGTGAGTTTCAGGTCATCTAGGGCTACAGGGAGACCCTGTCTCAAAAAAGATAAACAATAATAAAATAAAACCTAAAAAGTACTTGATATTATATATATATATACACACACACACACACAATTCTGGTACACAGAATACTTTGAAGGACAGGTTAACATATGCATCACCTCATATGCATGTCGTGTGTTAAGTACACTTAAAATCTAGTCTTAGCAGCTTTTGAGTATATAGCATTATTAAGTACAATCTCCATGTTATATATTCGAGCTCTTAAATTTATTCCTTCTAATTTTTTTTTACTAGTTATGAAATTTATTAATGAACCTGATTCGCTGAGATGTAGGACTCAGCACAGTGAAAGCCCTCAGGAGTGCAGGGCCCATCATGTACAGGGGGCCAGGACTGGGGATGTATCTGTGGGGTCCCCAGCCACCAAGAGATGAGTTTTTTGTCAGCTGCCACATCTTCAAAATCATCTGCATTAAACTTGATGAAGCCTCACTTCTTTGAAGTGTGGAATCTTTGGGTGGCCAGGGAACTTGAACTTTGCTTTACTCAAGGCTTCAATCACAGTCCTTATTCTGCAGCTTGGCACAGATGGACCTAATGACTGGGCCAGTGTGAACCTGTGGCCACTGTGCCCCAGGGCTTCCCAAAGGCACATTGTATCCCTGTCTGGAGTCCATTAGCTCCAGCACAGGACAATATCTTGTTGATGCAGATGATGCGGAAAGAGTGGACCCTCACTTGAATAAGAAAGCCATCTTTGCACACAAGGCACAAATATGGGCAGTGCCCAAGGCTTTGGAGTAGAGTTGTTCATACCAATCCGATAGAGTATGACCACAAAGTCAGAATTCATCAACTTTTACTTTCTTCTGTTTAAGTTAAAGATATGGATCTTGGTATCAGGGACACTGCAGAAGTGACACTTTGAGAATGGCTTATTCTTACAACATGGTAACACCAAGGTGGGTGGTGGCCCATGATAACAAGGGGTTCTTCGGTGGAGCTGCACAGGAAAAGAGCCTAATCGAAATTTTTATCCTTTGACCAACATCTCTTGAATCTCTTAGAGTCCCTAGTACTTGGAAATTACTATGCCAGTCTCAGCCACTAGTAACTCTTTAAGCTTCCACACATAAGTGAAGTCATCACTGGGGGACACTTTTGTAGTTTGTTTTTTTTTTCTTCTCACTGATAAAAATAATTTATAGGCAGACTCAGAAGGAAACTCAAAGGCATTTTATTGGAGTTTGAGAGAAAAGACAGGGCAGGCAAGTTGAAGATCTTAGCAGCTGCTCAGAGATGGGAGAGGGAAAGCTCAATAGTGGAATTCTATGATCAGCTGCATGGGAACAGAAAGTCACTAAGAGACAGGGTGAGGCTGGGCATGGTGGCACATGCCTTTAAACCCAACACTTGGGAAGCAGAGGCAGATGGATCTCTTGTGAGAGTGAGGCCAGCCCAATCTACATAGTGAGTTCCAGGCTACAGGGAGACCCTGTCTCAAAAAGACAAAAACAAAACAGAGAACGCAATGCAAGCAAGATAAAGCTGGCCCATGCCTAGAAAAAGGAGATGAAAAACACGTCGTGCTTTTGAGTTACAACTCGAAAAGTGTGCAGGCTTAGTATTGAGGGTCTTAAAGTAACTGTAGAGTAAGAGATTCATCATATTTAAGCCCATCTCTAATTAAATGAACAGTTATTTCTCCCATTTTCTTATGCCTTCAGGTGTAACCTGTTACTGTCTACCTTCTGGTTTCAGGCTGGCTTCTTCAGGTTGCAAAACAGGATTTTCTTCTTATTCCAAGCTTCTGGCATTGTCTGAGCAAGGTGCTTGTTTGATCACATCAAAAAGATATTGTCAATCACTGACCAAGCCATTGTAAAGGGGGCTACTGACTATCAACCATGTATTTGTGTTAGAGGATGTCATGTTGGTTTTCATACATCTCAGATCTCAACACAGGAAGCACCTGTTATCTACATCATCATGTCATCTGACCAAAGGAAGCTGAGGAAGGCATCCCAAGTGGTGTGGAGAAAGCAGCTAGCAAAAGGCTCTTTTATCCCTTCTCCTGTTTATCATTCCCTAAGATCATGCAGTATTTATCTTTCTATGTTCTCACTCCAAGCCATGTCTTCAGTATCTGTTTACGTACGACTTTGCTGAACTAATGTTCACCTACCCACTTCACATCTCTGGATGTCAAACTTATCCAAAGCAGAACTCTTAATTTCCCCTCTAAAATCTGCTCTTCCAAACCAGATGTGTGGTTCATGCCTGTTAATTTCGGTATTCAGGAAACTGAGGCAGGAGGAGCAGTTCAAGGCCAGCCTGCACTATGATGACACACCCTGTCTCAACAAAACAAAAAATTGAGCAGCTGAAAACTTGCTCCTTTAGCATTTCTCACTTAATAAATAACACAGTTACTAGGGTCAAAAATCAAAGAGACGTAATTAATTCCAAATCCTCAGAAAATCCTCTTGACGCTACCATAAAACAGTAAAACTAATCCAGTTACTTATCACCTTCACACCTTTTAAAATTATACTTTCCTAAATGGTCCTAAGGGTTCATCTGTTTTTGTCTCCTCATAAGAGTCAGAGCAATCTCAGGAAAAGAAAAAAAAAAAATCCTATTTAGGTACTCCCCTGCAATCTATAATGATACTCAGTCACCAGAAGTTTTTTTGAAGGCTTTACCACGGCGAACAAGTTCTGCGTCTTCGTGGAACACTTAGGTCTCCAGAGCCACTCTGCTTACTTTACTACTCATCTTCCAGTTCTTACTGAGAACCATCCTTTCTGGAAGGCTCTATCCTAGACTTGATAGGTTCTCAGTTCAAATGTAACCTCCAGTGATGCCTTCTTAACTGAAGCCACTCTATGCCCTACTACTGATACTTTTTCTCTATATAACTTCGCTATATATTTTTATTTTTATATTTATAGTTTGTTCCTTTATATGTAGAATACAAAGTTTACAAGAGCAGAAACCGGCATTCTGTTGACTGCTATATCCCCAGTGAATGGAGAAGACGCTTAAATTTTTGTTTTTGAGTGACTCAACATCCCCCCAAAACTGTCATATTTACTTCACTTTACAAGAGAAACTCAGGTTGTAGTTACTCTAAGTAAAAGAATCACAGTAAATAGCAGCTCTATGGTTAAAGTCAATGTCTGGATGCTTATTTTTTTTATTATTACTTTTAAATTGTATGTCTATGTATCTGTGGAGTTGTGCAAGTGATTATTTCATTTTATTACTTTTTTTAAAAAAATTATGTGTGCACATGAGTGCAGTGTTGGAGTTTCAGGCTTCACAGCACACACTGGTGCTGGGAATCGAACTTGAGTCCTTTGGAAGAACAATGAAGGCTCTTAGCCTTTGAAAACGCCAGTCTCTGCTTTCTAAGTGCTGGAGTTAAAAGCGTACACCATGCCAGGAGCTAGGGCAGGATTCTAAACCTACTTCTGACAACCGCCTTTCAGTGACGCCCAAGCCCAGCCAGCCCGCCTCCACGAGCGAGCTCCGCTAGGCCCGCCTCCACAGCGGTGCCCAGAGAGCCTGCGCCACGAGTGGATTCGCTCAAAGAATTCTGGGATTGGTAGTCCATATTTCTCTATGCCTGCCATTCGCCTGAAAAGGAAATAATAATGTAAATGAGGTAGCATTTTTTATTTTATGCGAATTAACTAAGATTCAGATTGTGACTCAGGAAACTGAGGCCACTGCGTGGTTTCCCAACGAAGCACGCACCTCGGTTCAGGCTCCCCTCAGACGGCCGCGCGGGGTCCTCGACTGGGCGGGGCTTCTCGCGGTGGCTTGTGGGTCCTTCCTGGAGCGCGTCTCTCTTTCTCTCGGTCCGGGGCGCCGGCAACATGGGTGAGTTGTGCTGGGCCGGCGGAGGGGCCGCGGGCGGGACCTGGAACCTGGGGCATGGGGCCCGGGAGCCGTAGGGCGGATGGGGTGGAGCGCGGAGCAGGCCTGTACGGGGACAGAAGCCGGGTGGGAGAGCCGGGCTCGCAGTCGCCGCGGGCGGGTCCATGCGGCCTGTAGGCCGCTTTCCCGAGGAGACCGAGTTGCCCCCGAGCCTTGCCCTGGCTTCTTATCTGTGCGAAAACGTCTTCCCAGAGTGCCTGTATCGTTTTCCAATGTTAGTTGGCTAAAGAATTTCGAGATCAGTTGGCCTTATGGGCCAAGGAAAAGCACAGGATTGTCTGGGGTAAAGGTTTCATCCAGGTGAGCCTAGAGTGTTAGCTCACGAGTTCACAAATTAGCGGCGCAATCACAGTGGTATTTTACTTTCCAGGCAAGTGCCGTGGTCTGCGTACTGCCAGGAAGCTCCGTAGTCACCGACGGGACCAGAAATGGCATGATAAACAGTACAAGAAAGCCCATTTGGGCACAGCCCTTAAAGCCAACCCCTTTGGAGGTGCTTCGCATGCCAAGGGAATCGTGCTGGAAAAAGTGTAAGTGCAAGACTGCTGCTTAAAGTGTTAACTGTGTTGAGAAGGAAGTCTGAAAACGAGATTGTGAAACCACGTTGGTTTGGGTTTTCAAGGGGCAAGAATAGAGAGCACCCTTGTTCTTGTATGTCAGAATTGGTACTTAGGGATTAGATAATGTTTTTCATTTCAGCATTGGTCTCAAGGAGTGGGAGAAGACGATCGAAAAATAAGGTGCATTTCTGTTGGGAACAGTTAGAAGTAAATGGTACCTCACCAATTGGGCTGTTTGTGCTTTTTTTTTTTTCCCCCGACTTAAGAAAAGAATGGCTGGGATTATACAGCTGGGATTGGGCCATGTATGTCCCAGAGTTTGGTTGGTTTTAGCTTTTCAAAATGGTGACTTTGTGTGGTTATTGCTAAACTTAGTGGTAGAGTTAAAATTTGAATCCAGGCTTGCTAACTTAATTCCTCAATTTTTTGGATGTGTGCGACTTCAAAGGAAATTCTCTCCCATTTTCCTAATGAGACAGACTGAAGGAAGGCTTGGTTAAAAATCATAGGATTTAATGGATTTAAGACAATTTGAATTGAAAGAGTAGGAGCTATTTGAGTAGTTTACTGCTTATTGTTTGTGTCCCCTTTTAAAAAGCTAGCTCACTGTTCTGTGTTGATGTTTCAGAGGTGTTGAAGCTAAACAGCCAAATTCGGCTATCAGGAAGTGTGTCAGGGTCCAGCTCATCAAGAATGGCAAGAAAATCACAGCCTTTGTGCCCAATGATGGTTGCCTGAACTTCATTGAGGTAAGGGTCTCAAGTTAAAAAGTAGCTTCTTTCTGGTAGGTAGCTTTTCCCATGTGTTTTAATCTTGACAAATTTCCTTAAATTAGTGACTGAGCATGTTTTTGATTGCCGCTATAACCAGAAGTAAACTTTTTACTTTATTTCAGGAAAATGATGAAGTTCTGGTTGCTGGATTTGGTCGGAAAGGTCATGCAGTTGGTGATATTCCTGGAGTCCGCTTTAAGGTTGTTAAAGTAGCCAATGTGTCTCTTTTGGCCCTGTACAAAGGCAAGAAGGAAAGACCAAGATCCTAAATGTTGATGATGGAAACACAATAGTAATAAATTTCGTATGACAACATTTTGTATCTTACTACCTCCTACAATCTCTACAAATAGCATCGGTGGGGTTTACCAGTTTTCGGAGATGAGAATAGCAATTTTAGCATGTTGTGTAGGTGAGACTTGTATCCTATGACAGCATCTTCCACTCTGGAGTAAAGAAAGTTAATAGTCTGGGATGAACAGTATGCTTATTTTTTTTACTTTTTAAAGATTTTTACATGTATGTGTGTAGGTGCTTGCAGCGGCCAGAAGAGGGCATTGGATCCCCTGAAGCTAATGAAAGGCAGTGTGAGCTGCCCTATATGGGTTCTGGGAACTGAACTTGGGTCCTCTGGGAAAAGTAGCAAGGGCTCTTAACCACTGAGTTAGTTCTCCAGCCACAATATACAATGTTTTACAGGAGCATTGGATTTTTTTTTTAATTAAATGTTTTATGAGTGTGTGTTTTACCTGCTTGTAAACAGGTATATCCATGTGCAATGCCCATGGAGGCTAGAAGAGGGCATCAAATCCCCTATCGAGTTTTTACAAAGATCATGATCTGTGTGCTGTAATTCTTTTACTGGGTTTAAAGCAGGAAGATGAGAATGGCACAGGTGGAGGAGAGCATGCACAAGGCCAGGGGTTAGGCCTCAGCAATAAAAATATAGCACAGGACTGTCCCCAGTACTTGGGAGGTGGAAGCAGGAGTGCTTTGAGTTGTACAAGCACAACAGGCTAGATTGTGAAACTCAGATATAGCAGTAGAGTAGTTAGATGCAGGTTAAAGCATAGAAGGTTTAGACAAGCGAGAGTGAATACCTGGTATGATTGTAGTCTCTGGAAAATTTTAAGACCTGAGAGCCACTTACGGGGACTGGGCAGGGCCCAGCTGGTAGAGTGCTTTTGCAACCCTGAGGACCAGAGTTCAGAACCCCTGCCTGGCTAAATGAGAGCAGTGTAAAAAGCACCTGATGTTAACTTTGGTCTTCCACACAAGCTTGCACGTCTGGATACCTGTGCACCCATGTACATTTGAATGTGTACGCGTATATAAAATGTTAATTTGCTCTGATCAAAGCCTAGTGTAGGCTGTGTTTAGGATCTATGGATATTTTGGGGTTATTTCTAGTACTGGAGCCTCCTGTTCCTCTCCTTCCCTGCCTATTAATAATACTGGTTGCATTGACCCAAACATTAATCTCTCAGGTACCTCTGTTAATCTGTTCTGTTAGGTACCTCCTGATCACAAGGTGCTCTGTTGTCTCAGATGGAGTGTATCTCTGTCAAAAATGTTTAATTGTACAAGGGTAGAAAGGGTCTGTCGATTTCATATAGTGCTTCCTAGCAGGTGGTTGAGCTATTCCTGACAGCTGGTCTGGTGCTTTGTCCCTTGAACCTTAACTCATCCTACCCTGCCAGTTGGGGACAGAGGACTTAGAATCTTACCCCATCAGAAGCAGGTCCTGCCAAGGACGGCAGCCCAGCAGACTACACAGTAAGACATGGCCTCTGGCTGCCCTTTGTATAAGCCGTGGGGACTAGCAGAAGAGGGTGGTCCTTGGGCCAGGGAAAGCATTTTTGCCTGTGTCCCCTTTAAAGTTTCAATGAACCTGTAAAGTACACTTGAAGTGTTGACACCATAAGACAGCATCTTGGTCTTTTTTTTATTCAGTCTTTTTGAGACGGTTTTGTAACCCCAGCTGGCCTGGAACTCACTATGTAGACCAGGCTGGCCTCAAATGCACAGAGATCCACCTGCTTCTGCCTCCTAAGTCCTGGGACTAAAGGTGTGCACATGGCTCTTCAGACAGCATCTTAACAGATGGAGTTGTCTTTGTTCCCAGACTCCATTTTAACTCACTTCACAGTCTCACAATACAGTGGCTACCAGACCCATAAATCCACCATGGGCACCTCAAATTCAAGTGTGGAGATCTTAGTTCTACATGTCCCTCTACCTTGTAACCAAGGTACCTTCATTCACATACCCAGCATTAATTTTGTTCCTCTTAACATGCTACCATGCTGTGTGTGACTGGGCAAGAGCAAATCTAAAGTGAAAGGAATGTATTCAACTTTGGTACAAATGAAGTTTCAGCAACTTTCTTTGTCCATGTAGAAAAGTTAATTCTGTGACAAAGTGAAGGAATTGGAATAGCTAAAACAAGGTTGAAAACTAATACAGATGGAGCAGTAGCAAAACTTGATTTCAATAGGAGAGATACAGATTAATGAAATAGGGTAGAACGTATGCAGGCACAAGTAGGCTGAGTTTTTAAAAACTAATTTGGTGAAGTAAGGATACTCAGTGAATGGCAAGGGCTTCTGTTAACAAAACAGCAAAAAGCGCTAAGCCTCACACCTTACATAGAAATTAACTCAAAATGGATGCTGTATCTTGACTGTGAAAGTATAAAAATTAAACAGGGCTGGGCATGGTGGCGCATGCCAGTGCAGAAGGCAGAGGATATCAAGATGGTCTTTTCTAAATAGTCCCAGTCAGGCCAGAGTGACATGTCTCCAAGGAGAGAAAAAGAAATTCATAACCTACACTAAGTAGAGTTCTTAGACATTTTTCCAAAAGCATGTTTGATAAAAGGGGATATATTGCTCATCAAAATTTAAAAGCTCTTTGAAGACTCTAAGATGAAAAGACAAGAAACTGATGAAGTATTTTCAAATCACATAACCAAAGGACTTGTACCTACTCTGAAAATCAAAAGTAAAACAAGTCTGTTCTGAGCAAATTAACATCCCTTTTCAAGAGCGATGGCAAATGAACACATGGGGAGAACATGGTTACTATGAGAAAAGGCACATAATGTCCCTATGAATTATCAGTGCATGCCTATCGGAATTGCTGAAATTAAAAATAAAATACCTAGGGGCTGAGATGCAGCTCAGTTGGAGTGCTTACCCAGCATGTACAAAGCCCTGCGTTCTAACCCTAGCACTTTGTAAGCCTGGTGTGGCAGCACATGTTGGAATTTGGGAGGTAGAAATTGAGATGTCCACATTCATCCTTGACTATACAGTGTAGTAAGGTCGAGGACAGCCTGGAATACATGCGACCCCATCTAAAACAAAAAGTGAGAATGTAGCACACTTCAATCTTCCATGTGGTGGTGGTGAGAGAGTTTAGTAGTTTCTTAGGAAATTAAACAGGTAGTATATGTCCCAGCCACTGCACTCCTGAGTACTTACATAAATGAAAATACATGCCCATATTCTAGAACCTGTGCACAAATACTTACGGTAGCTTTCTTTGTGACAGCCAAGAACTGAAATAAAGCTGCCAAGATTACCAACTCACCTTCCTTTAGGATTTCTTTTTCTTTAAAATTCTAATAAAATTGTAAAAGCTTTAAAAAAAAATGAAATAAATGGCATCTTACTTAGCCATAAAAAGTTGTTGAGGCTGCATAATGGCTCAGGGATTAAGAGTGTGTAGTGCTTCTGCAGAGGACGTGAGTTTGATTCCCAGCACCCATTCTGAGTGGCTGGCAGCTGCCTGTGACTCAGGTCTGGAGGATCTGATACCCTCTTCTGGCCTCTCTGGGTACTGCACTCATTGTACACAAACCCACACAGATACTACAAATAATTTTTAAAAATTATTGTTCTAAGCAAGAGCTTCTATAAACCTAAGAGTACAGACAGCCAGTTTCATAAGGTTATATTCTGTGTAGTATTGTTTCTATAACACTATTGAAATGACAAGTTTACAGCAATGGAGTCAGGATTGGTGGCCAACATGGCCCCCACAGGGAATTTCCTCTGTGTCTTGACTGCTGGGGTCAGTATGATGGAGTGTCACAAAAAAGGCAAATGCATATGAAAATTGATAAGTTATAGGTCAGGTCTACAGTTTATAATGTAGCAGTGTCAGTAGTCTGTTTTTAAAAATATACTCTGGTTAGGAAAGGTACTTTGGAAAACTGGGTGAGGAATAAACTCTTTGCAAATTATTGTGAATCCTAAATTATATGTTTTATATATATATATATATATATATATATAGTGAATGAGTAATTAATTTTGCCCATTATTTTAACTGTTAGGTCTGTTTGCCTAGCGATGGCCAAACAAATCAGAAACTGTTCAGAGCAGAAAGAACCTTAACCTTATGCAGTTCAAAGGATCCTGAACCAAAGCAATGTTAGAATCCCCTATGAGGCTTCTTACAGTTCGGATACCTTCAGTCTTTTGGTAAACAATTTTTAGGCTGTTCCATGGAAAAGCTTTTATTTGTTTGTTTACTTAAAATCTGCAGAAGCTCCAAGGTAACCATTTGACTTTCTCCACTTGTGGGAACCATTTTGTGTGTGTGTGTGTGTGTGTGTGTGTGTGTGTGTTTGCGTGTGTTTGCTTGTTCTGAGGCAGTCTCTTTTTCCTACCTTCATTTCCCAGTACTGGGATTATAGGTCTGCATGGCCCCTAACACCTGGTACCTAGTCCATTCTTGATTTGGAAACTTGGGGTATCACTGTACATGGTCTTGCTCAGAAACAGTTACTCTTGTTTTCTCATCTCATAAATTGGAAGCCCATAGAACATGGTGGGTCTGAACATTTTAAAAATAATTTTCTCAGGGGCTGCAGAGATGTTTCAGCAGTTAAGAGCACTGGCTGCTCTTGCAGAAGACCCAGGTTCCACCCCCAGCACCCACATGGCAGCTAACAACCATCCATAACTCCAGTTCTGGGGTATCTGATGCTTGCTTCTGAACGTCACAGGCATTGAACAACAGGAGTGCACTTAAATACATGGAAGCAATACACTCATACACATAAAAATATTAAAAATAGTTTGCTCGGGGCTGCTCTTGCAGAGGACCCAGGTTTGATTCCTAGCAACCACATGGTGGTTAACAATTGTCTGTAACTCCAGTTCCAGGGGATCTGACGCCTTCTGACCTCCACAGGCATTGCACTGCATGGGTGCACTTACACACACATGCGGGCAATACATTCATACACATTAAAAATAAAATACTAAAAAATAATTTGCTCAAGCAATTGCATAGCTAACATC